TTGTTAGAGTTGGAAACAAACAAATATATTCACTAATGCATTTAATTCCAACCCTTCATTGGAATCCTCTTGGTAACATTATTCTGCAATTAACAACGGCGATTCTGAGGTGGTCTCCAAGTTGTTACAGCATTAAAAAATTATAGTAAGCAGTATAAAATTATAATTTATTATGAAGGGGGAGATTCACAACACTCCCTCTTGAAGAGTTCTACTTAGGATTTCTTTCTTTCTTCTTTTTATTTTTTGTCATTAGTTTTCTCTCCTTTTGTTTTTTAAGTGCTTAATCTGGTATGGAGTCAGCTGGGTAAAGCAAAGCCAAGTGGGCTACCCCTTGAATGATGCTTGGGCAGCTCTTGCTGCAAAAAGGAGAATGTAAGTGGAGCCATGGTGGCCACCATGATGTCCTGGTCACTGTTGCTCACCATTGTCACTTCAGCCGTCCCTTCCTGAATCAAAGCATTAAGACCTTCAAAGTCAGTGCAAGTGATACCCGAACTGGTGACGAAAGTCTGATTGCCTGAGCCTTCCTGGGGGCTACCTGGGGCCATGGGGATCAGAGCCTGGCGCAGGGTGGCTTCGTCCGTCTGGTCGTGAGTAGTCAGCAGGACAGCTGGCTGTGTCATGGTGCCTGCCTCTTTCGGACACCCAGAGGACTGAAGAGAAGTAATCAGACTGACCTTGTGCAAAATCTGTAGCTGACTGTTCCCTGGGAATTCCTCTGGGCTCTGGGCCACCATGGTGGGTGGCACAGTGTTCACTGTGGCTGCGGAGGCCTGGACAATAATGTTGGCCTGGGGTACCTGATGTCTTATGATGATTTTGACTCTTCCCTCACTGTACTCTGGGGCACTTGGCTGGGTTGCAGGGGCACCTAGAGGTGGCCCACAGTGAGGGCTGCAGCCTGCTGCTTGCCGGGGTAGATCTGAAACTGGAGGATGGTCACATTCAAGTTTCTTATTCTCACTGTACTCACTATACTCACTGCCCCTTGAATGATGGAGAACATCTGCTTGGGTAGTTCTTGCTACAAAGAAGAGAATATAGGTGGAGCTATGGTGGCCACCATGATGTCCTGGCCCCCGTCACTTACCACATCCGAGTTCTTATTCTCACTGTACTCACTGCTAATGAGAACTTGGCTATATCTTGTGGCTGTGGAGCAAAGCCTCCTGCATGAATGAGGCATTGCAAATGTCACAGTGAAAAGTCTTCTTGGCATCCAGCTTAGCAACCTGCTGGCTGTTCTGCCTGCCTATGTCCTTCTTCTCCGGGACCTCGGCCTTGACCATGTCCCTGTGGAACTTCTTCACGTGCTTGCTGAGGTTGCTGGGCTGCTTGATGTCAAAGCTGCAGTAGCTGCACCTGAAGGGCTGGTTGGCACAGTGGGTGCATGTGTGCACATGCAGGGCAGCTTGCTGGAGCAGGAATGGCTGTATTCCGAGCACTTCTCGGGATGCTTGGACTGGTGCATGTGGCTGAGCTTCCAGAGGGTGGCTTTGCTGTCACCTAGGAAGTTGCAGTGCAGACAATTGAAGTTATTCCTACTGTGCTTGATGAAAATGTGTAACTTGAGGTTCCCCCTCATGGTACAGCAGACATTGCAGAACTCACACTTGAAGGACTTCTCCCCTGAGTGCACCTGCATGTGCCTTTTCAATCTGAGCTGATTTTGAACTTGGTGCTAAAGAGCCAGCACTGGAAGGGGGCAACCCTGGTGTGGGAGCATAGGTGGACGGTGAGCTGGCTGGAGTTCTGGCAGGTGTAGGGGCAGATCTGACATTTGAAGGACCGCTTGTTAGAGTGTATCTGCAGGTGCTTGTTGAGGCTGATGCTGTCTGGTGTAGTCACACGTCTTACACTTGTAGGGCTTCACACCTGTGTGGCATCATGTGTGTGTCTTCAGCTCGTCCTTCCTGCTAAAGCACTTGCCACAGACTTCACACTTGTGGGATTTGTCTCCGGTGTGAAGTTTTAAATGATGCTCCATGTCCTTCATGCCACAGGTATTCTTGAATTGGCAACCTGGATAGCAGCAGTTAAACCTTTTCTGAGCAGGTAGTGTTGCAGGCTTTTTGGTATGTGATAAGGCGGGGAGAGAGGTGATTGTGGCTGTCTGGTTTTCATTACTTTCCGTGGGCAGATAAGTTTTCTTTGTTTGTTTGTTTTTTTGCAGTTTTTGGCTGGGGCTGGGTTTGAACCCGCCACCTCTGGCATATGGGGCTAGTGTCCTACTTCTTTGAGCCACAGGCGCTGCCTGGCAGATAGTTTGATACCCATATTCAAAAACGATTGTTTTGGTCTCCGAGGTGATGGTTCTGGTGGTAGTTGGGGTCTGGGTGTCAGGCACTCTTTCCTCTGATACAAACTGGACGGTGCTGGGAGTTGCTCCAGATGAGCTGGTCAGCTGGCAGCCACTTTGCTTAAGAGCTACAAAGGCATCCAGGTTATTAAACTGCTGCTTGCAGATGCCACAGATATGGATGTTGGGAGTCAGCTCAACTAGCATGATTGTGCCACCTGGAATTTGCACGAAGTCTGGAAAGCTCTTGCCCTTGCTGCTCGAGTTCATGGTGTAGACTGGAAAGTCCCTGCCCAGCCAGGGTGCCAGGGTGGGGAGTGCTGATCTACATGGTACAAGGACTTTTTCCTTTTATTTTTCCACACCCCACCAGTCTCCTTTCTCCCAACTCTGAGGCGGGAAAGATGGATGAGATTCAAATCGATTTTTAAAAATTTATGTAATCTAAATCTCCATTTAGGAAAGTCCTCTGAGCCCCTTCTGCCAGGGTAAATCTGAGTTGCCCTCTGGTTGCCCCAACTTCCTGGTTATCTCTTTATGAGCTCCTAGCATGTGCTGAGAATGGTCCTGTGCTGCCAGCTCTCTCCCCTGACAGACTTAGGACTTCCATTCCCTCTGTCTTGATGGAGACCTCCCTTTAGTGCCCCTCCTGGGTAGGGGAGCACACCTTTGGTGTCAGCCAGACACAAGTCAGGCTCCATTGAGCTTCTTGTCAGTTTGGCTGTTGATCCCATTTTGGCAAAGAACCTACTGGGCTAGCTCACTGAATGTCCCCCTGCCCATATCCAGCTAGCCCTCGTCCCATTCTTCACACCTCATCAGGTCACTGTCCCCTGATTCCTAACTGAATTCCTCTTAGCCTGGTCCATCCCTCCCCTACCCTGCTCACTGGTGTCAGTCCACTTGTCCCTGGTGTATTTGGAGTTGAGTTTAATCGCCTCTGTTGCAGCAGTCTTGAATAAGGCCTTTCTTTCTCCCTAACAGTAGCCTGACTGTGGCAACGGCTCCACTGGCCTAGCTGTATGCCCCTCTGGCCTACCTCACGTCCTGCCTTCATCATTGGTTCATTTGGTGCATTTTTCCATCCATCCCCTGCAGTCCTGGGAAACATACCATCCAACAGTCTTCTCTGCACTCAATTCCACCATCATCTTGGCTGATTTTTGCATCAATGTGGATGACTTGTCCAAAACCCAAGCCTCCCAGTTTGGGGATGGCTTTAGCTCTTGAGACTTTCTCCTCCACTCCACAAAATCTCCCACTGCACCTCCGGCCTACAGATGCTCCAGGAGTACTCAGATCTTAACCCTTTCACACCCTGCCTCCCTGAGCTCCTTATCTCTGCGCCCTTCCTCTCCCATTTCTCTGCATCTCTGAGCTCCCAGGGACCTACCCTCCCTGTGGCCTGTTTGGCCCCTGTCTCTTCCCTGTGTATCCTTCATTTGGGATTGTGCTCCTGGATGTTAGTGAGAAGCCCAGCGAGTGCTTTCACTCACAGTAAAGGCTAGGCTACATGGAGGCTGCATGGGTTATAGGTTTTCACACTTAAACTGTTTTACAGCAGATGAAAAGAAACATTTTGAGGAAGGAATGCTATTTCTGATTTATATTTGGGGTCACATGGAGCAGCAGTAGTCCTTCATCTGATGAGATCAGTGCCAAGGGCAGAGGTAGAACAGCACCTTGGGCACACATGAGTGTCCACATGTGCCCATTAGAGGGGCACACTTCACTCCCTTAGAGTTAGAACAGCACTTAGGCACACATGGGTGTCCACATGTGGGTGTGCCCTTAGGTCCTTGGTGTTTCATGGGTTCTGCTGCCCTCTCTGCTCTGCTTCCCTCCCTTTTTGTTCCTACAAGTGCTGTACACACACTCAGGAAGACTAGACTGAGGCCTGGTGGGTCAGATGATGTCCCCTAGCCATCAGTCATGCTGAAGACAAAAAGGATCCCCTCGTTTGTAAAAAGAAAAATAAGTGTCAAGTGTGTTGGCAGTAGGCATATTTTTATATTTTTCTCTTTGGAGATCAGAAACTTAATGAATTGAGCATAGAGAGCTAGGAAAATATGTATATTCACTTTGAAACTTTTTCTTATTTATGTCTTAAATTTTGCCGGCAAGTGTTATGCTATTAGAAGCCAACAAGAAGTTTTAAAGGAGAAAGTTGTATTTCTGTTCTTATTTTTCTTCCTAAGGGGAGATGTGTGTTCCTTAAGATAATTTTGCTGAAGTGATGTTAGGGGTGATGGAGGCTAGCTGGAAGGGAGACGGAGCGGAGGAGAGGGGACCTGGTCAGAGGCCAGCTTCACAATAGGAGGGCCTAGCTGAGGTCTGATAAGCTTTAAGCTGGCGATGGTCTTGAGATTGCCACCATCCCATGTGCATGTTATAGCTGTGTGTGTGTCTATGTCTGTGTGTGCATGTGAGTGTGTGTGTGTGCTCACATGCCTAAATCTGGGAGGAATGGTCCATCATATCCATTCATTTCTCAAAGGGACCTTTGCTCCTTGCCTCTCTCCCTCCTCCCCACAGAAAAGGCTGAATTCCTATTTAGAAAGTTGAACAGAATAATTTGTTTGGATACTAGTGAAATAGTGTGTGCTGATTTCTCTCGTGGAAGACTGACTTCTAAGCAGGACTGACCTAGCTGTGGGTGCAGTAAGACCCACCATTTTTCCTTTTCTCTTTACCCAAGGCCAACACTGGACAAATTGATGACCCCCAGGAGAAATACAGAGTCATCAGCAGCAACCTTGCCCTCATTCAGGTGAGTCTCCACTCTGTGGTATTGGTGAAGCTCCTCCCCTTTTGAATCTGTAGCCAGGTCTAGCCAGGTAGGAAGGGTGAAGGCTGGGGAGCCCTGTTCCTGCCCTCTAGAATGGCTCAGCCTGCCTCTAGGGCAGCATTATGCCCCCTGAGGTAGACATCTCTTCTGGGCCCTTGGCTGCTCCAGCTTCCCCACTCCTTGTTTCAAAGCCAAGCTTCTGGGTAGGCTCACCAGCACTTGCCCCTTCTCCTTCTTGTCACCTGCACATGCTATCAGGGCTCCTGTTGTGCTTCCCAAGGCATAGGACTCCCCGGATGGATATATCCTATCGTTGCCTTTGACTCATGATCTCTTCATGCTTACCCTTCTGGGGCATCTACGGATTCCTTCTGCCCCTCTGCCAGTTCCTCATAGCCTTTGAGAGATCCTTTTAGCTCCTTAAGTGCTTTGAGGTCCTCACAAACGTGTATGTCCTTCTGCCAGGCCCCAGCTGGGCTACATTCTCATCCTGAAACCTGGCTATTGATTCAGGAGACCTAATGTGGGGGGAGATGAAGGCAAGGAGAAGGCTAGGCCTAGACCTGGACAGGAGGGAGCTTTGTTTAGCACCTTCTGGGTCCCTCTGGGTGGGGGCAGCCCGTGCAGCACAGAGAGGCTGAAGCCTGCGATTAGACAGCCCATAACTTGTCAGCCAGGTAGCCTTGGGCAGGACCATATTGCCCTGTCAAATTGGGATAACTACTCTGTATGTCACGTGGCTTTCCAGGACCCCTGGATCTAACTCTCTGCTGGGCAGCCCCACAATAGCATAGCTGACTAGCCTCATGGTCTTCCCTCCTCAGACTCCCCTCCCTGGGAATGCCTGAGTCTGTCTAGTTTGGTGGTTGAAAGCTTGCTCTAGGAGTCAGTAGCTGAGGGGCCACAGGCAGGTCCCTTCACTTTTTCTGTGAGTAGATGGTTGTGGTTTGTGAGTGTGTGGGGCTGGCGCTGGCCAGCATATGGCCGGCACCTGTGGTGGTGGCCATGCTTGACGGGTGTTTCTTGCCAATTGACCGAGCTAGAAGCGGAGTCGCCTACAGCTGCCTACCTACAGGCGTCCCCTCTGAGGACCCTGCCTCCAAGCTGTACTTGAATCCAGCTTGCTTCTCCTCCCCTTCCCCTCTTCCTCCCCCCTTTACTCCCCGCCTTCTCTCCCTGCTCCTCCTCCTACCCCCTCTGCCTTGGTAGCTAACCCTCAGCCTTGAGGACTAAAGATGTCTGCACTGATTCCAGGCCAGGAAGCTTCCAGTTTAGCCCCAGCATGGCCACCTTGTTGGCCGTTTCTGAAACCCAGAGCTGGTTCCCCTTATCCAGGGCCCCTCCCATCCCAAATCTGTCCTCCACCCTTCACAGCTCAGCCTTGCCAGCTCTCTCTCTTGGGAAGGTCCTTTTTCTTCTTGTTCAGCTGCCAGTGAAGCCCTTTATAGCTCCACTCAGGCCTGAGTTTCTGCCTGGCACCAGGTGCCATGCACAGGTTGCTGTGGCTGCCCTGGCTGCAGGTCAATGTCAGGTGTGCCCCCTGCACCTGAGTGCACCCCAGTGCACCCCACACCCAGCACTAGTCCTGTGGCTGAGGGGCTAGAAGCACAAATGCAGCTAACCAGAGCCTGGCTGGTGTAGGTCTTGAGTATCTCAGCCACAAGTCCCACTGGCTGTACTTCCTTGTGTCACACCAAGTCCTCATCCATACAGTGCCCATTTCCACAGAATGGATTCCCAGCATATGTTTACTTAGCCCTTCTCTGAGCCAGGTCCTGGCTCAGCACCTAAACATCGTCATAGTGGGGTTATAATTCTGTCTCTCCCATTTAAAACAAATCTTAATTAACATCCAATCATCAGTGGTGCAGTAGACTTGTTCATTTGATTTTTTGACAAGTGCAGCACATTCTGTCATACAAATGTGGGGACTCCACAGCCACCCAGAGCTAGGTCACAGGGATCCTTCTCAACACCAGCCTGTATACTTCTTTACCTTTGCTACCCAGGGGCCCTGAGGTCTTCCTGGTCTTTGACTTGCTTGAGAAATCAAACTGCAATGAAGTTATCCTGCAATTTTACTGAATTCCTTAAGATGACTTCCTACATGCTCAAAGGGTATGAAGAATTTGAAGGTTTTAATTTTTTTTCAAAAGCCCTATCATTAATATTTGAGCCATATTTGAGTCCATCACTCTATAAACCTCACTAGCACCAGAAGTATTCTTCTAAGCTATGTTTTGTATCCACCATATGTCTGTACACACAGAATGTACACAGAGATAGTATATAGTTTACTGTATTTTAATGTAAAAATGTTTACATTGTATTTGTGATTCTGTAACTTGTACCTTTAATAATAACTAATGAATATAATTACTTAGATAGCACTCAGTAAATATAGTAGAACCTCCATAGCTGACTACCTGCCTGCAGTGACTACCTCCCTAAGTTGTCCTACTTTTCCAATTTTAGTATATGTGCTGCTAAAATGAGCACAAGTTGACCTAATTTCCATAGACTGGACATGCCCCACATCTGGGTATCAGTACAGTAGGCCTAGTTCCTTTTGTTGGCCACCTGCCTATGTGACCCACATGTTACAATTCCTTGGGTGGTCACCTTATAGATGTTCTGTGTATTAGCTGCAAGTCCTTTGTACACATATGCAAGTGTTTCTTTGGGAAAGATGGTGAATCATAGGTATAGGGATAAATTACAGCTAATCCCTCCCCCATTATTTTGTTTTTATTTGGCTTAAAACGGTACAAATTTACTGTCTTATAGTTCTGGATGTCAGAAGTCTAATATGGGACTCAGTAGGCTAGAATCAAGTGTTGGCAGGGCTGCCTTCCTTTCAGGAGGTCTAGGAGAGAATTGTATCCTTGCCTTTTTCTGGCACTGCAGGCCACTTGGATTCCTTGGCTCCTGGGTTCTTTCTTCGTCTTCATCATCATCATTAAATCATAACTGTGTACATATGGGGTACAATGTGCTGATTTGATATACAGTAAGGAATACATCAAAATGATTAATATAACCATCACCTCACTTATTTATTGTGGTAAGACATTTATATCCTATTTTTAGTAGTTTTGAAATGTACCATTCCATTGTGCACAATAGTAAGGTCTCACAAAATATCTTCCCTCCTTGCAACCTCTTCCCTCCCCACCACTCTCCCTCCTCTCCCCTCTTTTCTAGACTATAGTTGTGTTTTATTACTCATATAAATGTGTAAGTGATTATATATTGGTTTCATAATAGTATTAAGTACATTGGATGCTTTTTTCCCCCATTCTTAAGATACTTGAGTAAAAGGAATGTGTTTCACTTCCATCCAGGTAAACATAAAAGATGTGAAGTTTCCATCTTTTTTATGGCTGCATAGCATTCCATGGTATACATATACCACATTTTTTTTTTTTTTAGACAGAGTCTCACTATGTTGCCCTTGGTAGAGTGCCATGGTGTCACAGCTCACAGCAACCTCAAACTCTTGGGTTTAAGTTATTCTCTTGCCTCAGCCTTCCAAGTAGTTGGGATTACAGGCACCCACCACAACACCTGGCTATTTTTTGTTTGCAGTTGTCATTGTTTGGCAGGCCTGGGCTGGGTTTGAACTCACCAGCCCCAGGGTATGTGGCCGGTGCTATAACCACTGAACTACAGGCGCCAAGCCTATACCACAATTTGTTAATCTGTTCATGGGTTGATAGGCTTTTGGGCTGTTTCCATGACTTGGCAATTATATATTGGGCTATAGTTAACATTCTGTGCAGAAGTCTTTGTTGTAAAATGATTTTTGATCATTTGGGTAGATACCTTGTAGAGGAATTGCAGGATCAAACAGTAGGTCTACTTTTAGTTCCTTGAGAATTCTCCAAACTTCTTTCCAAAAAGGCGGTATTAGTTTGCATTCCCACCAGCAGTGTAAAAGTGTTCCCCTCTCTCCACATTTATGCCAACATCTATAGGTTTGGGATTTTGTGATGTGGGCTAATCTTACTAGAGTTAGATGATTTGATTTTCATTTCTCTGATGATTAAAGATGATGAGCATTTTTTCATGTGTTTGTAGGCCATGTGCGCCTATCTTCTTCAGAGACATTTCTGTTCAAGTCTCTTGCCCACAAAGTTATTGGGTTATTTGTCCTTTTCTTATTAGTTTTACTTCTCTTGTGGATTATAGCTATTAGACCTTTGTTGGAAACTTACCCTATAAAAAGCTTCTGCCATTCTGAAGCCTGTTTGCTTTACTTACTGTGCTCTTGGCTGTGCAGAAGCTTTTTAGTTTGATAATATACTTTTTTGTTTTTTGTTTTGTTTTGTTTTTTTAGGCAGAGTAATATATTTTTGGTGTTGCTTCAGTTGCCATAGGGGTCCTCCTTATAAAATATTTTCCCAGGCCAGTTCTTCGAGCATATTTCCTACATTCTTTTCTAGTATTTTTATAGTTTCATGTCTTAAATTTAAATCTTTTATCCAGTAAGAATCAATTTTTGCAGTTTTTGGCTGGGGCTCGGTTTGAACCTACCACCTCCGGCTTATGGGGCCGGCACCCTACTCCTTAGAGCCACAGGCACCACCCGAGAATGAATTTTTGTTAGGGGGGAAAGGTGACGGTCCAGTTTCAGTCTTCTACAGGTCACCAGCCAGTTTACCCAGCACCATTTGTTAAATAGGAAATTTTCCCCCCAATGTATGTTTTTGTTAGGTTTATCAAAGATCACATAGTAATAAGTGGCTGGGTTCATCTCTTGGGTCTCTATTCTATTCCATAAGTCTACCTCTATTTTTGTGCCAGAACTGTGCTGTTTTGATTACTATTGATTTATAATCTGAGATCTGATAACATGATACCTCCTGATTTGTTTTTATTTCTGAGTAATGTATTGGCTATTTGAGGTTTTTTCTGATTCCATATAAAATGAAGTACTATTTTTTCAAGATTATTAAACTATGACATTGGTGCTTTAATAG